TGAGACAGGGTCTCACTATGTAGTTGAGACTGACCTGGAGCTCACTATGTAGCCCAGGCTGGTCTCGAACTCACAGTGATCCTCCTGCCTCAGCCTCCTGAGTGCTGGGATGACAGGCGTGCGCCACCAGGCCCGGCTACTTGCTTAATGTTGATTTGCGTTCCGTTGTTGTTTTTGGTTTTGTGTTTGGTTCTCCTGTCACCAAGTACTGGGTGCAGACAGAGACATTTAGCTCTTCCTTTTTCACTCTGTGTCTGGTCATTATTTCTGCCTGTAGCCATGCTGGGGAATCGCCGACCCGGTCCTGAGTAGCATCAGAGATAGAACGATAGAATTTTTGTCACAAATCTAAACTTCCATGGGAATGTTTTACCTCGGCCTTTTCAGGAGGAAGTTCGCAGTAGGACTGAGGACTGTGTTTGTGTGTGTGTGTGTGTAATCAGCATCTGAATAAATGCATTTACCTTTAAAAAAGAAGCCAGGCGGAGTGGCTCATGCCTGTGATCTCAGCACTGTGGGAGGCTGAGGCAGGAGAGTCTCAAATTCTAGGCAGGGGCTCACCACGGAGCTCTTCCCCAGCCGAAGAAGATTGTTGCGTTGACCCTGGAAGTTGTGTGTATGTGGCAGCAAGGTGTGTTTCTGATCAGCCGGCACGCTCAGGTTCTGCGGTTCCATCTTGCAAATTAATATCGAATACACCCAGGTCTACTAAAGTGCAGATATGCTGGGCGTGGGGGCGCTCGCCTGTAGTCCCAGTGCTTGGGAGGCTGAGGCAGGAGGACCCCTCAAGTTCTAGGCCAGCCTGGACCTGAACCTGTCTCAAGAAAGAAACATAAACACAACAAGCAAGCAAGCAAGCCCTTGTCGGCGTGGGTCTCAGTGAGCTCGGTTCCCGGTAGGAATTCTGCGGGAGACGGGCGCATTCCCACCGCCGGCAGGGCGGGCACTATAGCTGTGTAGATCTCCCGGTTTAATAACAAAAATCCCCAGTGTGCATGAAAACTCGGCGAGCTCCAGAACAACTGTGACATTCGCAGGAGTGCAGCGGCTAGTGGGCCGCAGCTGGATTAGTTTTCTACCTGTCGAGTCCCCCTCTCCCCTGGCCTTTGCCTTTTTCTCCCTGGGGTTTGAACCCATGGTGTCCCTTGTATACTCCCTCCCCTGCTTCTGTTCTAGTTTACATTTTGAGGCAGGAACTTGGAGGATGGCACTTGAGATCCTCCTGCCTCAGCCTCCCAGAGTGCTGGGGTGGGGGGCGGTATCAGGGTCGCAGCTCCAGGCCCGGTTTGTCAGGCGCCCTCTGCAGATCCTTCGGGGTGCGAACGGCCCCAGGAGACTCTGTATGAAAATTAATTTTAAATTAAAGAGCGGCCGGGGATGTAGCTCAGTGGCGCCCGCCCTGCCTCTCAAGCACGAGGTCCCGATTCGATCCCCGGTACCGAAAAATAAAAGTGAAAATAAAAAAGAGCTGGGGACGGAGCTCAGCGTGCAAGACCCAACAGCACCCAGAGTCTCTGTTTTGATTCTCTTTCTGCTTTTCTTCCCGGTCAGGTTTCTGCCGACAGCCGGATCGTGTGGCCCTGGTGACCGGAGGCTCGGACGGCATCGGCTTCTCCACGGCCAGGCTGCTGGCCCGACTGGGCATGCGCGTGCTTCTGCGGGCATTCACTTTGTTTGTTTGTTGTTTGTTTATAGATTTATGCAGTGGTAGCGATTGACCCCAGGGCCTTTGCACTGAACTGAGCCCCCTCCCCAGCCCTTCTTTTATTATAGTTTTTTTACAATTTCGAGGCAGGGTCTCGCTGCGTTGCCAAGTGAGTTACCCAGGTTGCTCCGGCTGCCTGGGGTCGGCCTGAACGTGGGGTCCTCCTTCCTCGGAGCGGGCCGGGCACCCACAGCAGCCTTTGCCAACCCCACACTTTCCAGCGAGGGGACTGGACGGGCTGCCGCGGCCTGAGCCTCGCGAGATCCTGGCCCAGAGTCCGGGCCTCCGCCTGCTGTGCGCCCTCCTCCGTCCCCCGCTTTTCTTCACGCTCGGTGAACTTGTGCTCAGCTCACCCCGCCTGCGCTTGGTTCTCTCCGCAGCCGGAAACCACGAGGACAGAGGCCGAGCAGCCGCGAGCGCCATAAGAGAGGAGACGCTGAACGCCCAGGGTAAGGCGATCGATCTGGGTGAGCTGCGCTCGCTGTGACGTCCAGGGGTCGAACCGGGACAGGGGTCGCCCGGGCCCGCGCGGGACTTTCTGGTCGTGCGTGGGGCGGTGCCGGGCCACAGCTGAGCGCGTCCGTGGCCTCGCTTCCGGTGCCGGTGGCCGTGCGCAGTGGGGTTTAGCGGGGTGCACAGGGCGTGAAATCCGCAGTGGCTCTGCGGGCTGCTTCCGTGGGACCCACGCGCTTAAGTTCCACACCCCAGGGGATCCACGCTGTGCCTGTCTCGACACAGCTGTCCGGGTTCTCACAGAGGACCGGACTTTACCGTCCTGGCTGTTGTCTCGTCCTTGTTATTTTATCTTTGCTGTGCGGGGGGTGAAAGGCAGGGCCTTGTGCGTGCTGAGCTCTAGTGCTGAGCTGCATCCCAACCTTTTTATTTTATTTACAGACAGGGTCTCATGGCACTGTCAGGGCTGGCCCGGAACTGGGAATCCTCCCTCCTCAGCCTCCCGAGTGGCAGGGGTTACAGGAGCGCCCGGCTGGCGCGGCGTCCTTTTTCACGGGTGAATAATACTCCACGGTGCGCGTGCAGTGTACGGTGCCGGCCGCTGGGCTCTGAGGTTGGGTCTCCGTTTTGGCCACGAGTTATTCTGCCGTCGGCCGCTTCACACGTTTTCACCAGCTGAGGTCCCCGTGCGGTGGAGAAGACCTGGAAGACTCTACCGTCTTTGTGAAACTTTTCGCGCACGCAGGCTCCTGCTTCCATGTGACCCAGAAAAATCTCTCCATCTTGAACCCCTGTTCCAATGAAGCCTCGATATCCTTTGGACCAGTAGCTCTCAGATTCCCACTTTCAGGCCCCAGCCCACCGGATAGCCACAGTTCAGTCTCAGCTTCTGTGAAGTTGGCAATTTAGGGGTCGTACCGAGGACAGGAGAGATCAGGCCTGGGGGAGAGGGGCTTGGTCGTTCTGTGCCTGCCTTGTTTTGTTCACTCTGACGTCTACGCTTCCACCCTCACGACGGCAAAGGGCAGGATGTCTTCCCTTTTCACGGCTGCATAGTATTCCACAAGGAATACGGACCCCGCTCTCTTTATCCACTGTTCAGTCGATGAGCACCTAGGTGGCTCCCGTTCCTCGGCTGTGAACGTGAGGTTGCGGGTGACTGTCCGACGTTCCATTCGTGAGATCCTAGCTCAGTGTGCTGTTTGGCGGCAGGAACTGGTGACCGCTGTCTTAACTTCTCCGAGGCCAAGTTTTAAAAATCCACAAGAGAGTGGGATCGGGCAGTGCCTGTCTTTCTGTGCTTGTTGATTTCACTAAACAACGTCCAGTCCTTCCCATATTGGCAAGAGGGGCAGGACTCCTTGCCTGTGTTTTGCTTTTGTTGTTGTTTTTTGAGACAGGGTCTCACCGTGTAGTGGAGGCTGACCTGGAACTCACTGCACAGCCCAGGCTGGTCTCAGACTCGCGGCCATCCTCCTGCCTCAGCCTCCTGAGGGCTGGGATTCCAAGTGTGCTCCACCACGCCCGGCTCCTTATCTGTTTTTATGACCCAGTAGTGGTGAGGAATTTGGCTCTGAAGATGTGAGATGCGACCCGTGGGGATAGTACCGTCTTGACTCGGGGTCCCCAAGCTCTGGTTCGGGTCGTCCCAAAGGAAGTCCGAGGTGGTTCTTGTGACACAGCCCCACTTTAGCAGCTCGGCAAACGCCGAGAGCCCAGCGTGTATCCTGGAGAGGCGCTAACATTGTGTCCTGAGGGTATTGACACGCTGGAACCTTTTCCCGCTGAGGAGGCTGCGGGCCTCCCGCATCCCAGTCACACCGGGGCGCCCAGGGGCTGCCAAAGAGGCGATGTCGTGATTCCCCTTTGCAGTCTGTGCTGCTCCCATATTTCAGGCTCATCCGCAAGGCGGGCTGGGGATGTTTAACAAGTTAATTACCCAGAAGATGATTAAGTGGTTTTATCAGCTCGGGTTGCATGCTCTATTTAACAGATAAGGAATAATGCATATTGTGAAAAGAGGGGAAAATGACTCTCTTAGCTGAGGGAGACGCGCGTGTCTTGGATTTGCGGCTGCTCTCTTTGGCCCGTGGACCGAGACCTGAAGGCACGGCTGGGCTGAACACGTTCTGAATGCACACAGAGTCCGGGGCCGGCTCTCCTGGCATCGACGCCGGCGCAGAGGGACGGGCGCTGGAATCAGGACCCTCTCGGGTCATCGGCACCGCCCCAGCCCGCTGGGTCCCCAGAGGGAGCGAGCAAAGCTGTCGTGTGTCCTGCAGAGCCGGCCTGGGAGCCCGGTCCAAATGCCACGACCCGGGGCGTCCGGGCAGAGGGGAACCCTGGTCCTCCCTGCTGCTCGTCCCAGCCAGAAGCGTGCGGTCCCCAACAGGGTGGCGGAAGGGGTCCCGGGACGGGGGACCCCGGCCCGGGACGAGCGGAGACGAGCGGAGACCGCACAGTGCACGTGGCTACATCCGTGTCCGCTGTGTGCCTGCGGACTGACTCGCGGGCGGTCCGAAACGTGTGCCTTGTGTGTCTTTATGTCGGAGCTTTCTGTTTCTGTGCAGCGTGCAAACGTCAGCGTGTGTAGCACCTTACGGGACAAACAGACGTAGGATGAGGGACACAAAGACGTCACGGGCAACGGGACCTCAGGTCACAAACTTCTGAACCGGGGAAAGAATCGAGTTCGTCGACCGCCGTTTCACAGGCATCGTAAATTATGTGTTCCACAGATAGGCAGCTTTTCTTTGTTTTGCTCATTGAGTTTATTGGCACATTTTAGGTACACAGCGCAGTTACGGTCATCATTGGGATCTCGGACCTGTACAGGACAGGTCTCGGTTCTCTTTTTTTCCCCTTGTTCCTGCGATATGCAGGTTTTCCATACAATATTTATAAGTAGAACTCACGTATTTACCAAAAGAGCCACATTTAACTACAGTTTACATTTTTTCTACATGTTATAGACCTAATTTATACATATCATAAACATGACTTATCTTGTGTAAATACGTGTTATAAATATCAGTAATATATTGCAATAAAATACGTATTATAAAGCCAATTTATATGACTAGATGCTTTTTCTGCATTATAAGCATAAATTATATATATTATAGGTATATGATTTATATTACACATATATTGTGTAGTTTATAAACACAAGTAAATACATATTTACGATGAAATACCTGGGGATTTAGCTCAGTGGCACCACAGCGCCTGGCAAGTACAAGGTCTTGAGTTTGATTCCCGGTGCTGGAAAATAATAAACATTTTTTTAAAACAGTACAGTGAGCTGGGAGGGGCACAGCACGCCTGTCATCCCAGCACTGGGGAGGCTGAGGCAGGAGGATCTCTGTGAGTTCGAGACCAGCCTGGGCTACAAAGTGAGTTCCAGGGCAGTCTCAACTGCATAGTGAGACCCTGACTCAAAAAAACAACAAAAAAACAAACGAGCGAACAACTCCGTCAGGATGGACGGAGCATTCGGCCGAGTCTTCTGTCCCTGGCAGCTCTTCCCCGCGGTGAGCGCAGAGCAGGGCAGCCCGGGGGATCTTTCGGAGACACACAGGGCTTGGCGGTCTGGGAAGGATCCTTCCACTTCTGCGAGGAGGAGGGTTTCTGTGGGAACCCGGCCGCCTCGCGACGTGGCTGTGGACAGCACCGTGGTGACGGAGGTGACGTTGGTGGCGACTCAGAGACGGCGATGGTGCTCATGAAAGTGGATGTGGTCGCCGCTGTCCTTTCCCTCCAGGCCTCTGTGTCTCTTCTGCCCCGGTGCTGGGCTCCCGACGGCCTCTCGTGGACCCGGACTCGGCCCTTCTCCCCCGACGCCGGCAGCTCTGATCGAGTTCCTTTTCCTCTGGCCGGGTGCCCAGGTCGGGAAGCGTCCGCGTGAGCCGGGACCCTGCCGTCGCCCTCATGGGTCCCCAGCCTTGCGAGGACGCGGAGCCTTCGTCACACACCTGCCTCGTCCCCTGGGCAGATGCTCTGTGTTGATTAAACTGTGTCCTGGGGTCGGTGTGGGAGGAGGCGTCCCGTCGGCTCCAGCGCTGCAGTAATCGCTGTGATCCGCCCCCAGCCCCCGTCCTTGCTGTGTCCTTGCTGTGGCCTTGCTGTGGCCTCAGCGTCCACACGGAGACCGGCGGATTCGCAGAGCCCCCACCCTGTGTGATCCCCAGAATCAGGGGCGGCTTGGGCACACGGAACCACAGACGTACAAATGGCGCGTCCGGACCTCAAATGAAACGCATTGCGTTGGAGAACTGACTTCCTGCTCACCCTCCACAGCTCTGATGTTGTGTGTGGGGGGCGTGTGCTTCCCCTGTGCAATGATGCACATCTGAACTGCGTGAAGTCTGCTTAGCCAAAGTCCCCACGCAGCCCTACCCGCCTCCCCGCGGGGACGTGTTCGCTAGGCCTCCCGCACGACCGCGTGCCGCGGTGACTGCCAGGCACACAGCGCCCTGGGGAACCCAGCGCGGCACCCTGATGGCTCCGTTTCTGAATATTTTAATTAGTGCTGCTGTATCTAACAAGGCCCGGCGGACCTCTGCAGGGACCTGTGCCGCTCACTGTTTGGACAAAAACATCCACAAGACTCGGTGTGGCCTCGGGCGTCTTGGGCACGAGAAGCCTCCCTGCCCCGGGCCCTCTGAGCTTGGACGGTCGTCAGCTGCTCTTTTCGGCCCGCCGTTGTTTTGTTAAACCCGAGAACCCGACTTGGTTCCTGTCCGTCACCCACGCGGCCTCTCCTGCTCCCGCGTCTGCTGACCTGACCACTGTCATTGTACTGTGTTCAGAAAATCCCTCAGAAGGGCGTCTTTCTGGGCCCTGTTTACGTCTGTGACTTACAGGGATTTAGAGGAAAAAGTCGGCACTTCGAGTTCGGCCACGAAGCGGATTGGATCGTTAGGTAAACTCTGGGGTCTTCCTTCCCGGTGGTGTTTGGTCGAGGCCTCTGATGAAAGCTCTGGGATTTCAAACC